CCTTACATCCCCCCTCCTTCCATACACCCCCCCTCGTTTCTGACACACCCCCATCCCCCTCGGGGCCTCGCTCCTCCCTCCTCTCTCCCCCTCCTCGAGCTGTCCCTCACAATTCACCCTTCACCCTTGCCCGACAAAAAAAAGAAATTCCAGCCCAAAAGGCCGTGCAACATTATCGCGCCCAGTCGGGCCGGGAGAAAAATGGTGGTACACTGTTTGACTGAAATATATGATACCCACGATCACATGCTGGTAGGTAGATGGGCTCTGGGGCGAGGAATGCGTACCCACAGCCAAATGATAACGGTGGGGAGCCTCTGGTGCAGCCTGAGCAGGTTGTAGAGGCACGATCGGATGTTTTTCATGTTCCTCTCTTGGTCTTGAAGGGAAGGTTGAGGTGCTGCAGTAATTAGAGCGTCGAGTAGGTAATTGTCCCCCGAGGCTTCCGGGCCGTTCGACGTCAAGCCCGAAGGCGTGGGTGCGTCAGGCGAAGATTCTCGAGCTGTCATTGCCAGATTGATAGATGTTCTGAGTGTCGTGCTATCAAATGGCAAGTTGTTGAGAGAATAAGAACACTTGGCTCTGCGATATTTTGGGTCAGCCGAGATACACTCAGGGCAGAGATCTCACTCCCATTTTCAGTACATTAATTACCTGGTCTGATCTCGACTTAAGATGACGAGCCAGTTCTACAACATGCATGTGCAGGCGAGACACACCCTGATCATCAGATGTTGTGGGGGCCCCACTTTGGGCTTCCAGACCTTCCTGCCCAGACCACTTGCACCTGTTTGCCATCTCTTCCTCCTGCACCACCACACATCACCTCCGTATCGCATCACCTTTTCTGCCTGCATCCCACCACATCAGATGATATCCATCTCCTCCACCACCTCCTCCTTCCACACCTCCTCCCCTTCCATCATGCCGTAGTTATACATAACAGTCTCCAATCAACTTCCACCGCTTTCCCGCTCTCTCCACCACAAAGGGACACGGACTCCCCCTGAACAACGCAACCTCCTGCCCGGGCAGGGTATTGTGCGGCACCAACGCGAGCCTCCTGTCGTCCAACCTCGCCATGACGTGGTCCAACGGCGTCCAGAGAGCCGCGTCAAGCCACAAGCACTTTTTCGCCGGCACAAAGACATTACATTGCCCATACATTGAGAGGACCATCCAAAGAGACTCTTCGGCCTCAGCCAGTCTGGAACGGCGATCGATGCGTACGCGGTGCCCAGGGCAAGGAAGAGCTGCACGAAAGCCACGAAGACGGAGCGCCCTTGTGGTACTCATATCTGACGCCGAGGAGAAGCCGGTAAAGGCCCGGGAAGCGCCAATCGATGCCGAGGAAGCCCGCCAGGCGGAAGACGGGATTCCACCAGAGCGCGCCGCGCAGCGCCCGGCATTCCTTTACCATCTCGGCGATTAGGTCGCTGGGGGGTCTGTCGGTGAGCGGGCTGGCAAAAAACTCGCAGCCACGCCGGCCCTTCATGAGGATTATGAACATGGCCGTCAGCTCGTCGTCGACTTTGCCACTCCTTCAGGCCCCTTCTTCTGGCTCGAGCCACGTTCCTGGCGATTTTGCGAGGCGTGCCCATTGCAAGAAGATATCCACTGCGCTTCCCTTTCTGTAGGTGTTCACCGGCCACATGAGAAACAGCGCACCGGACGGATAGAATGGTAGGGTGCGAAGAAGACGCCCTATGGCTCCACTAGAGAACTGGTCCCAGGAGACCGGGGCGAAGGGTGCCCATATCCCTATAGGACGCTCAAGTCGAGTGTATTGATGGTGGATCTCTAGCGCTCGGCAGACTGTCTCGATCCGCCCGGCAGTCATGCCGTGGAGAACCAGAGTCCGGTCGGATGGACCATCGCGAAGAAACGGGGTCGAACACTGCGAGCCCCCCGACGCCCGATATCCGCGGTAGATCTCGGGCCTGGTTTCACCAAAGCGATGGTAGGGGACCCCGCTGGTCAAGCCGAACCGAGAGGAGGCAGCATGGAGGCGTCGTATCCCCAGTCGGGCACCCAGGACGGGAGATCGGGCCGTCTGGTCAGGCAAGCCGGCGTCAGGCAGTGGACCAGCAACGTCAGGTCGCGCGTCTGTCGCAGCAGCGCAATTATGACCCTGGTGTAACACTCAAGGGTCGAGATCGTGTAGAGGTCGCCAGCGTCCCCGCCGACAAGTCCACGGTCTCCTGCCGGAGCCAACCCCAGCAACGAGTAGACCTTATCCCGCGGATTCGACGCCTGAGACCACCGGAACTGGACGAGAAGCTGTGCCAGGCTCGGACCCCCTTGCCCTCCGTAATGGTGGAAGATGCTTGTCAGACGAATCAGGGCTCAAAAATTTGGCCCGACGTCCCGCACAACCCACCTCATACAGTGCTCCAGCATGAGGAGATAATGCTTGAAGTCGGTCCAGGCCAGGGAATGGCCCCCGGCCAAGATCCGGGCCTCTTTCGCCAGACACATCTCCTGGATGATCCACATGCGACTCCAGTACGACCATTTGGTTCGACGCCATCTGCATCAATCAAGGCGACAAGGTCGAGCAGGCGCACCAAGTCGCCATCATGCGCGACATCTACTCCCGAGCACGGCAAGTCTAGATTTGGCTCGAGCTATCGCTCCTTCCGAAAAATATAAGCAGGGTTTTGCAGCCTGCAAACTCTACGCCTTGCGGTGGAAACTCGCTGCCAGCAGGATCAAGGCCGAGGGCGGCGTGGGACATGCTACAGGCCATGGCCATCCGGGCCGCTCTTCGGGACGGCAACCGGCGGGAAATCTTCTCGCCCGGCATTCTGGATGGTCTCCTACAGCTCTTCCGGCAGTGAGTCCCTTGGGGTAAGCCGACTTGAGATGGCCGAGGGCTGCATGGAGGTTTCGGGTGACGTGGACCTCGACTCCGTTGCAGTGAACCGGAAGCGTGTCGCTCGGGTTTCCCCAGTGGTAGGAGAGTGCCTTGTACTCGGGGCATGTCGCCAGAGTGGTGGTGCAGAGATGCTAAGACTTGTCTAAGGGCGAGCGTGAGAAGAGGTATCGAGGCGTCTTCTGGATTTCGAGAGGGCGGCAGACTCAGGTCAGCGTAGAGCGCGTTTGAGGCCATCGTGGCATCGACTGGACATTGGCAATGCAAGGAAGAATGCTGAGCGAATAGTGCTCTATAGCCCGGGGGTAGGCTCTGAAATGCGGGGAGGACATCTGAGATATCGCATTAGGCTGTGGCTGTCCGCTGGGCTGTGTCGGTGGACTCCATGTGTTAATAATTATGTCTCAATCTCAGATTGTGTTGAGGCGAAGCCGGCCCAACATGGTATGGTCTAAGTACCTCGTACTACAACTTTGGTGTCTGTGAAAGCGTGGTATGTACATGGCGAGTGGACTTAGCAAAAAGAAATGGAAGAATGGAAAGAAACGAAAAAGGAGGACAAGAAAGGTACGGACAAGGAAAGGAACGAAAATTAAATCAAAGCAAGAAGAAACTGATACGAATTTCCTTCTCCAAAATAAGCTTCTTTAGGGTAAAACTGACGCTTTCTAGTATCTATTACTGAGCTGCGCTCTTGGTCTAGCGGTATGATTCTCGCTTAGGGTGCGAGAGGTCCCAGGTTCGATCCCTGGAGAGCGCCTGATTTTTTGGCTCCTAACCCTAGGGATACCCCAGCACCGCAGCATCGGTGGGTTGTACTGTACTCTGTGGCAATAACCAACCATCTTGTATGCCGTGAAGTTCGTTGGCGACAGCAGAACTGTACTCTTCACCGTCAATGTGCTTTCGCAGTTGGCCCTGTTATCACATGGATCTCCCAACCTGCCTCTGAACCCCCCTTATCTCACCGATCGAGGAGCTACCTTATGCTGGTGTTATGCTGGTCCCGTCCATGGCGGCAACTCCTACGTGGTGTGGTATACACGATCAAACAAGGGATTTAGTCGCGGATTGCCAGCCTGGCGCGCTAGTGAGCCGGCACTTCTGTCATGTATCGTGATGCTTGAGCATCGTCAGTATAGTTGGTAACTCTCCTCCTATCCATTGGTATAAACGTAAGAAACCCTAACCTCCCACGCAAAGCAGAATGTCAACCCTCGAACGGTCTCTGATGGAGCAAACGCTGCAGCATGCCCCGAGGCGTAAACCCTTCTTTTGACCCGACCCATTGTTTCATCTCTGTGATACGCCCCGAGCCATACCTTATTCTTTCCCCTGGGCACGCCTATTCATTCTTGGGCGCCTCGACCTTGTCGGCGGCCATGGCAGCCTCGGCGGCGTCCATGTTCTCGGCCTTCTCCGGGTTGTGCTTTATGAGCATGGCTTCCAGCGCCGGGGGGTTAGCGCCGAGGAACTCTTCGACCTTCTCGCCGTTCTTAAAGAAGATGAAGGTGGGCATGGCGCGGATGCCGAGCTCCTGCGCGAGATCGGGAACGGCGTCGACGTCGAATTTAGCAAAGTAGGTCTTGCCCTTGTACTTGTCGTCCTGGGCCCATCTGCATAGCAAGTGAGAGGATTGCTTAGTCGTGGATCTTGATAATGGGGCCGGGGTGCAGGGTTTGGAGGGGGCGCGCACCGAGCTACTTGCGGAGCGATCGCCTTGCAAGGACCGCACCATGTAGCAAAGGCGTCGAGGACGACGACGGGATTCTTCGCGATGGTCTGCTTGAACAGGTCGACCCTGGAGCACAGAGCTTTGTTAGTGATTTCCAACCGCCAGTGGGGAATAAAACCACCCCGCCATCTGAGAGCAGGAGACCCACGAATCTATGATATGGACCGTCATTTTGGGCGAACTGGTAGTAAACTGTCTCGTGGTAGTTGGTATGATGGTTGACGGAGTTCCTCGAAGGGTCCTGAGTGCGGGTCGTAGGAGTCTGGATGTCATTTGGAAGGAGGGGGTGCTGCGGCACCGAAGGAAGGTGAGGTTATAAAAAGCCCTTTCGACGGGATCAGGGGGCAGGTGGATGATTCTGGATCAATGATGTAATTCAGGGCCCCCTCCGGATTTGTCAGGGCACCCATGATGACGAGCTTTTGCCCCACCAGCTGCCGCTCAGGAACGCGCCGCAGTCAACCGAAGCTCGTCAAGGTGCCTGATCCCACACCATCCTTCTATAACTAATCCATCCTGCCGGGACCGTAGTAAAATCCCATCTGGTTGATTCTCGGCGGCTAGAGAATGCCAGTTCTAGGAATTACTTGTCCGCGGTTGAAGCTGCAGTGATTTCTCATCAGTGATGCTCGGGTTTGATGACTGTTCACAGCTCAAACCCTAACCCTCAGTCAACCAGTCAGGGGCACAGGGCACACTGGATTCCCCTCGACTTCAAAAGTTTCCGAAAGCACGCACTCCCGCATGCGGTGAAACCACCCATTATTTGGTATTCTCCGGCAAAATGGTCGATTTGTGCATCACAAGGCTTGAATGAATAAGCAAGGTATGTTTCAATCTCCTATTCCTCAATCCAATTACTTTTTCCAAAGGCTTGCTCGCTGCCGGCTACTTTTTTTTCCAAAATCCAGCTCGCATCTCGACACACCAGTACTTCTCAGCCGGCTCACGTGAAAACCACATTCTCGCACGGCGCGCCGGCGGCGCACTTCTCGTACAGGCTCAGCCACGCGTCGCCGCCGCAGAACTGGGCCTGATCGCCCGTGCAGCGGTAGTCGCACAGGGCCAGGCTGGCGACCGTGGTGGCGGGCCGGCGCGTCTCGGCGAACGAGTTGCCGCACCAGCACTCGCGCCGCCACTCGGAGCCGGCGTAGGCGAAGCCGCGCGCCTCGCAAAAGGCCGTGCACCGCTCGTTGGTCATGTCGTCGGACGACTCCATGGCGCCCGACAGCGTGCGGAACGCGCCGTCGCTCGTCCACCGCTCCTCGGGCGCGCACCCCAGGAAGCGGAAGCCCTGCGCCGTCATGTCGGTGAAGAGGTCGCTCGGGTCGGCAGTCGAGGTCGCGGTCGCCGAGGTGGAGGTCGTGCTGGTGGTGGTGGTGGTGGTGGTGCCGGCTGGCGAGGAGGTGGCGGGCACGGTCGAGGTCGAGAGCGTCGTGCTCTGCGGGGGCAGGCCGTCCGTGGGGATGACGACGAGCGTTACCTTGATGCATTCGCGGTCGACGTCGATGACTAAGAGGGGAGTTAGTGAAACTGGGAGGCTGTGATGGTTTTGTTTCGGGGGCAGACATACGCGTGTTGCCCGGCGGGGAGTAACGGAACTCGTGGCTTCCGTCAAACGCGTGGCGGACGCAGATGTGGCCGCCTACGGGCTCGTTCTGCCACATGACAAACTCCAGCTCGATCTGGAGCTCGTCCGTGTCGGGGTTGCAGGCGTAGGTGGGCTGGAAGATGGCCCGGTAATCGCCGCGGCCCGTCATGAACAGCTTGGTGGTGTGGTCGATCTCCGAGAACTAGGGGGTGGGGTGGTCAGCGTGGTTGTGCTGGCTGTGCCAACGAGGCGGATGGCCATACCTCGCCGCCTATCACGGCGCGGACGCCATTGGGGACGTGGTTGATGACGCCGTCAACCAGCGTCAGGTCGAATGTGGGCACGCCGACGGGGCCAATGAACAGATGATGGTCGCCGCCACCGGCTTCCAGCAGGTTCATGTACTTGTTATGCACATCAGGCCGGGAGGCATTCTGGACCTGGGCACGGAAGGGCTCGGCAATGTTGTTTGGGAGGGTCCCGCCCGGGATGGTGCAGGCTGAGGTCACGGCGGCCCCGGCGAGCAGGGCCGAGATGCTCCTTCGGTTCAACATGTTGGTGCTTGGGTGCAGAGGATGGCAACGATCAAACCCGGTCAGACCAAGGACGACTTCTTATGGGCACCGTTGATCCGGAGAAGGAGAACGCGAAAGGGGAGCGAGGCCACCGACCCTGCAGCCCCCTCCCAATATTTACATGACGGGACAATGATGCGTCCATGCAGCTGCAGGCTGCCCAGGCTCCCGCATGAGGATTCCTGTTGCATGGCAGCTGAGAGCCAGCTCAACACGCAGGCCATGCTGGAGTGGTCAGATTCCAGCCTCTCAGAGCCTTGGCAGCCAGCACTGCTAACGCATATTGGCAATAAACTAACGGAAGGTCAGCCCGGGGCTTCACTGCGCCGAGAACCTGCAGGAAATTCCCCTGTCGCGGCGAACCGCTTCAGGGACCTGGCCTTGGCACATGCTCGTTTTCGCAGGCCGAGAAGCCGGCAGCGAGTCGCAACCCGGCAAGCAACCTAAAATCCGATCCGAGGCGCACCAGCCGCACACTTGGCTTCGTATTGTAGTCTGGAAGTGTGCTTGGCGTGTTATTGCTGCCACAACGCTCTCAAGGTTCTTCTGGCGGGGCCTGTGAGCTCGCATGCGCTTCTCCTTCTCCATTGTCCTCCTGTTTGGTGTTTGGATACGGCACTGCAATCTATCCCAGTAGCTATTTAGTTATAGATGGATGGGTGGGTAGAAGGGCTTCGACATGCGAGCCAGCGGACCCTTTTCGGGGCCGGTAAATCCCTCGTCGGCTTCGCTTGCGGCGCCACAACCGCCCAACGTCCTGCAGGCGGTTCGGTTGCATCCTGCAATTGGGCTTCGAAGCTTATTCGGAGATTGCCCTGTGGCACTGTGCCGTTCAAAACGATCAGCCCTACATGTGGGTATTGCTGTCATTACCTAACACGTCGGTTCCCGTCAGCGTCCAGCGCCTCCGTTTTGCCCAGACTTCCGTCCGTTTCCTCGACCTGGAGCCAACGCACTGAGTGTAATCCTCGCCAGACGAAGTCAGAAACAAAGGGATTTAATTAGGAACTTGCGACTCGAAGGCAAGGCACATGATAAACGAACAGGTACAAACAAGAGGGGCCGAACATCTGACATCAGCCGTCGACAAAAGCTTGCGACGATCTGAGGTCGGGTTTGAGGCTATACCGGGCGATCCTTGGTTCTGGGATCCTTCGGAGACTTGATTATGCGCCAGCGCGTGAAGTAGCGTCCCTGCTTCAGCGGTTCGATCCGGCGCTGCTTGGCCTCGCTACTTGCGATCTCTCGCCACCGGTCTTCCAAGGGCTGCGGTGAGAGGCCGCCGCTGTATCCGTCGTCCTTGAGCCGATGATTTTTCAACTTGACAAACTCGTCACTCGCCTGCTGCAAAGCCTCAAAGTCGATTGGCGTACTCCCCATTCGATGTCCAGGTTCATACCGTCAATGAAGTCGGCTCTGTCGGAGCCGCGCTGCTGGATAAGGAGCGAGCGAGCGAACTGGATCAAAGATGCATACGGGACGCCGTTCTTGCTTCTCTCCACGTGGGCTTCCAAAGACGGGTCGACAAAGCAGTCCGACGAAGGCGTCAAGATGAACCAGAAATTGTAGCACTTCCGGCGGAAGGAGGGGAATGTGTGGCGCACGGAAGGCGGCACCGGAGGAGGGGGCTTGTCGATTTTGTACTTCTCGTTGCCATCATGTTGAGCATCGAGAAGCAGCTGGCAGGCCGTCGCAAGCTTGTCATCCGGGACGCAAAAATCCCACTCCTGCCGAGCAGTCAGCCATTGGCAACCATGGCGCAGAAAGGAGCGCGATACTGTATATACTCACGTCTGTCACCCTTGCAGCCCCATAGTAGCGTAACGCGCTGACACCAACCACGCAGAAAGGGATCCCGG